AATATAGAACCATTTATCCAACCGTCCATCCAGAGCCTCAGGTTTATAGACCGGATACATTCTAAATATAGAGCTAGAAATAAAATCTCTGGTTTTCCTTCAGTTGCACTGATAAACAAGACCACTATTCTAATATAACAAGCAGTATGAACTCTGGAGGAACTCTGTGTAGACTTTATTCATCCTGGTCCAGATAATTCTCAGTTTATTATCCGTCTGCAGATAGTCCTGTATAGATCACATGACATCAATGAAGATGGCCATAGATCAAAGTCACATGCATGAGAAGATATCAGAACTCATCCTGGAGACCATCTACCTGCTGATTGGAGAGGTGAGGAGGATTCTGGGAGGTCACATGACATCACTTTTATCCAGAACTGACGTGGGTGAGGTTCTGAGATTACCTGAATTTCTCATGACGTCTCTCAATAGGGTTACACGGTAGTGAAGAAGACATCTGGTGAGGATGTGACCTCCAGTAGACATCACCGGGAGTCAGAAGGACGAAGAGGAACTCCGAGACCCATCACTGTCCCTTCATCCGTGTCCCTGACTGCTTTATGTGACAAGAAGAAGAAGATTCTAGAGGTCACCCAGAAGATCATCGGTCTGCTGACCAGAGAGGTGAGTGGTGCCGGGAATTCTGGGACATTCTCCAGTAACAGACAAGGGATGTGTCTGGATGGTGACTGTATCATTGTGTGTGTCAGGTTCCTATAAGGTGTCAGGATGTCACTGTCTATTTCTCCATGGAGGAGTGGGAGTATATAGAAGGACACAAGGACCTCTACAAGGACGTCATGATGGAGGATCTGCAGACCATGAATGATGAAATATTGAGAATAAGGAAACATTGTTTAAATGAGATAATATTGAACCTCACTCTGGAGACCATTACCTTGTTGACTGGAGAGGTGAGGAGGAATCTGGAAGGATCACATGACCTTCAGTGCCGGGACAAGGTCTTATACAGCCCAGGGCAAACATGCCAAATTACCCCCCCCCCCCCCCCCTTCCTGAGAAAGAAATATCCCTCCTAGCACAAATTCCCTCCTCCCTACCATATTACCTTTTCTAGCACCAAACTCCTCTTCCCCCTCTCAACAAAAATCACCACTGCTAGCACATCTGCCCAATTTTCCCCTTCTAAAACAATTCTTTTCCCCGCTCGCCTCCCAAATTCCCCCTCCCAATACAAATCACCTCTCCCAATCTCCTTATGGTGCCCCTCCCCCACCTCACATGATATCACAGTGCCCAGGGCATCCGCCCCCTCCTGCCCATCCCTTGTCCCGTCCCTGAGCACATCTTCCCAATTTTCCACTCCTGGAACAATTTTCCCCCCCTGCCGCCCCCCCAAATTCCCCCTCCAAATGCAAATCCTATCCCCCTAATCTCCTTGTGGTGCCCCCCCACCTCACATTATATCAAAGTGCCCAGGACAGCCACTCCTCCTGCCCATCCCTTGTCCCGGCCCTGAGCACATCTCCCCAATTTTCAACCTCCTAGAACAATTTTTACCCCCCTGCCGCCTCCCAAAATTTCCCCTCTCAATGCAAATCCTCTCCCCCTAATCTCCTTGAGGTGCCCCCCCACCTCACATGATATCACACTGCCCAGGGCAACCGTCCCTCCTGCCCACCCCTTGTCCTGGCCTTGAGCACATCTCCCCAATTTTCCACTCCTGGAATGATTTTAACCCCCTACCACCCCCCAAATTCCTCCCAATGCAAATCCTCTCCCCCTAATCTCTGTGTGGAGTCCCCCCACCTCACATGATATCACAGTTCCCAGGACAGCTGTCCCTCCTGCCCACCCCTTATACCGGCCCTGAGCACATCTCCCCAATTTTCAGCTCCTGGAACTATTTTAACCCCCTGCCACCCCCCAAATTCCTCCTCCCAACGCAAATCCTCTCCCCCTAATCTCCCTGTGGTGCCCCCCCCCTCCACCTCACATGATATCACAGTGCCCAGGGCAGCTGCCCCTCCTGCCCATCCCTTGTCCCAGCCCCGAGCACATCTCCCCAATTTTCCCCTCCTAGAACAATTTTTACCCCCTGTCGCCCCCCAAAATTCCCCCTCTCAATGCAAATCCTCTCCTCCTAATCTCCTTGTGGTGCGCCCCCCCCCCCCACCTCACATTATATCACAGTGCCCAGGGCAACCGCTCTTCCTGCCCATCCCTTGTCCTGGCCCTGAGAATATCTCCCCAATTTTCCACTCCTGGAATGATTTTTACCCCCTGCCGCCTGCCAAAATTCCCCCTCTCAATACAAATCTCCTCTCCCCAATCTCCTTGTGGTGCCCACCCCACCTCACATGATATCACACTGCCCAGGGCATCCGCCCCTCCTGCCTACCCCTTGTCCCGCCCCCTGCTTTTCCCTATTGTTTATATAGTAAAGGAGAACAAAGCTGGTCCAGTGAAGTGAGGAAGATTTGAATATTATATTTATTGCTGTTTATCACAGGACTGTATTGTAGTTATGAAGACAAGAAGGAGAGAAAGACAAAGTCCCATCACCGCGTCTCCCCCAACCTTCCTGACTCTTAGGAGAAAAAGCAAGAAGAAGGTCCTAGAAGTCACCCAGAAGATGATGGAGCTACTGACAGGAGAGGTGAGCAGTGCCGGGAATTCTGGGACATTCTCCAGTAACAGACAAGGGATGTGTCTGGATGGTGACTGTATCATTGTGTGTGTCAGGTTCCTATAAGGTGTCAGGATGTCACTGTCTATTTCTCCATGGAGGAGTGGGAGTATTTAGAAGGACACAAGGATCTCTACAAGGACGTCATGAAGGAGGATCAGCCGCCCCTCACATCACCGGGTAAGAGGAGACTTTATTGTAAAGGAGAGATTAGTACCTATGGTCTACTTCAATAAACTTTACCTGCAGAAAGTATTCACATTTTTATGTTATGTCAACAAGTTTAAGATACGTTGTTTGTAAATATTCTCCAGGATCTATTTCTAAATATTTATCCATCTCCATTTCTCACCAGAAGAATGAAATCCTTGTATTTTTATACCCAATGCTCTACAGAAATGAGGAGGAGATACTGGACACCATATGAAAGGTCCATCTCCATTCCTCAATGTAACGTAATGTTCCCAACAAATGAGGAGATACTGGACACCATATGAAAGGTCCATCTCCATTCCTCAATAGAACGTCATGTTCCCAACAAATGAGGAGGAGATACTGGACACCATATGGAAGGTCCATCTCCATTCCTCAATATAACGTCATGTTCCCTACAAATGAGGAGGAGATACTGGACACCATATGGAAGGTCCATCTCCATTCCTCAATATAACGTCATGTTCCCAACAAATGAGGAGATACTGGACACCATATGAAAGGTCCATCTCCATTCCTCAATATGAGATCATGTTCCCAACAAATGAGGAGGAGATACTGGACACCATATGGAAGGTCCATCTCCATTCCTCAATATGAGATCATGTTCCCAACAAATGAGGAGGAGATACTGGACACCATATGGAAGGTCCATCTCCATTCCTCAATATGAGATCATGTTCCCAACAAATGAGGAGGTGATACTGGACACCATATGAAAGGTCCATCTCCATTCCTCAATAGAACGTCATGTTCCCAACAAATGAGGAGGAGATACTGGACACCATATGAAAGGTCCATCTCCATTCCTCAATAGAACGTCATGTTCCCAACAAATGAGGAGGAGATACTGTACACCATATGAAAGGTCCGTCTCCATCCCTCAATATAACGTCTTGTCCCCAACAAATGAGGAGGAGATACTGGACACCATGTGAAAGGTCCATCTCCATTCCTCAATATAACGTCTTGTCCCCAACAAATGAGGAGGAGATACTGGACACCATATGAAAGGTCCATCTCCATCCCTCCATATAACGTCATGTTCCCAACAAATGAGGAGGAGATACTGGACACCATATGAAAGGTCCATCTCCATTCCTCAATAGAAGGTCATGTTCCCAACAAATGAGGAGGAGATACTGTACACCATATGAAAGGTCCGTCTCCATCCCTCAATATAACGTCTTGTCCCCAACAAATGAGGAGGAGATACTGGACACCATGTGAAAGGTCCATCTCCATTCCTCAATATAACGTCTTGTCCCCAACAAATGAGGAGGAGATACTGGACACCATATGAAAGGTCCATCTCCCTTCCTCAATATAATGTCATGTTCCCAACAAATGAGGTGGAGATACTGGACACCATATGAAAGGTCCATCTCCCTTCCTCAATATAATGTCATGTTCCCAACAAATGAGGTGGAGATACTGGACACCATATGAAAGGTCCATCTCCCTTCCTCAATATAATGTCATGTTCCCAACAAATGAGGTGGAGATACTGGACACCATATGGAAGGTCCATCTCCATTCCTCCCGATGTGTGATGACTGATTTGGTGTATTGATGGTTTCGGTGAGATGTGATTGGTTTTCATGTATTGTACATTTACTTTGTATCAGAGGGACATCAGGTCAGGAATACCTCGGAGGAAGATCTTGTTTTATCTCCAGATCACGGTGCAGAAAATAATGAGATTAAACAACATTCTCCTGAAGTGAACACAATCGGTCATATTACACCGCACAGACCACACCATGTGGAGACATCAATGGATCCTTCTGATCCTGAATCTTCTCATCGATCCCATACTGTTCCTTCAGATCTCCATTCTCACAGAGCGGATCCATCGACACATCCATCTACACCCAAGGAGTCTTCTCCAATCCATGGAGGCGTTCATCCAGGAGAGAGTTCATTATCTTGTTTAGAGTGCGGGAAATCTTTCAGGATGAAATCTGAACTTCGTCTACATCTCAAAACCCACCCTAGTGTGACCTTTTCATGTGCAGAGTGCGGGAAACGTTTCACCAAGGAAAGCAAACTTCTTAAACACCGGAGAAGTCACAGGCATGGGAGTCCTTATTCGTGTTCAGAGTGCGGGAAACACTTAAGTTGCAAATCACAGCTCCTTACACACCAGAGAAGTCACACGGGTGAGCGTCCGTTTGCATGCTCAGAGTGCGGGAAAGGTTTCTCTAGTAAAATGTACCTCATCATACACCAGAGAATTCACACCGGGGAGCGTCCCTTTGCATGCTCAGAGTGTGAGAAAAGTTTCACTAACAAAGCAAGCCTCCTTTTACACCAGAGAATTCACACGGGTGAGGGCCTGCATTCGTGTTCAGAGTGTGGGAAACTTTTCACTCTTAAAACAAATCTTCTTATACACCAGAGAACTCACACAGGTGAGCTCCCGTTTTCATGTTCAGAGTGCGGAAAAGGTTGCACTAGCAAAGCATACCTCCTTACACACCAGAAAATTCACACAGGCGAGCGGTATTCATGTTCAGAGTGTGGGAAATATCTTTCTGATCAAGCTACACTTATCAAACACCAGAGGATTCACACAGTAGAACGTCCGTATTCATGTTTAGAGTGCGGGAAATGTTTCATTCAGAAAGAACGCTTGCTTAGTCACCAGAAAACTCACACAGGTGAGCTTCTTTGTTCATGTTCAGAGTGCGGGAAAACTTTTGCCAACAAAGGACTGCTTCGTAGACACCATAAAACCCACACAGGTGAGCGTCCTTATTCATGTTCAGAGTGCGGGAAATCCTTTGTCAACAAAGGAATGCTTCGTAGACACCATCAAATTCACACAGGTGAGCGTGCATACTCATGTTCAGAGTGCGGTAAAGGTTTTATTACAAAAGAAAATCTTATTGTACACCAGAGAAAGCACACAGGAGAGCGACCTTATTCCTGTTCAGAGTGCGGGAAATGTTACATCGACAAAAAAACCCTTGTTCTGCACCAGAAATCTCACACAGGAGAGCGCCCATATTCATGTTCAGAGTGCGGGAAATCTTTTGCCCGGAGTGCGCACTTGCGTAATCACCAGAAAATTCACACAGGTGTGCAGCCTTTTTCGTGTTCAGAGTGCGGGAAATCTTTTGCCGACAAAGGCAATCTCCGTAGACACCAGATAACTCACACCAAAGAGTATCCGTTTTCATGTTCAGAGTGTGGGAAAGGTTTTGCCGACAAAAGAGCGCTTCTTTCGCACCTGAGAACTCACACAGGGGAACGACCTTATCCGTGTTCAGAGTGCGGGAAAAGTTATATGGACAAAGGAAACCTCGTTAGGCACCAGAAGACTCACACGGGCAAATGTTCTTATTCATGTCTAGAGTGCGGGAAAGGTTTCTATCAGAAAGAGCATTTTCTTATACACCAGAGGAGCCACACGGGTGAACGTCCTTATTCATGTTCAGAGTGCGGGAGATGTTTCAGTGAAAAAGGAAGCATGCTCAGACACATGAAAATTCACACAGGGGAGCGTCCTTATTCCTGCTCAGAGTGTGGGAAAACGTTCATTAACAAAGGAAATCTAACTAAACACCAGAGGACACACACCCACTAAATCCACTGACCAATAGGGAACGATTTGTAGAGGTCAACAAAGAAAGGTATGAACAAAAATGAAATGAAGGTTTTCAGATGGGACATGGCATCATGACGTCCTCCTGCTCTAAACGCGGCTCCGGGGGCGATCGGTGGTGTGTTCTGTCCCTCGGACACAGCGGACCACCAATCAACGGAAAGAGACAAAGGTGTCGGCTCGGTCATGTGATCAGCTGTGTCCAATCACAGCTGATCTCATGTAAACAGGGAAATGCCGGTTATCTGCATTTCTCTCCTCACGAGCTGTCACGCTGACAGAGGAGAGGAGAGCCGGTAATCGGCATTCCTGAGAGGGGACATCTACACTGATCATCAGGGCACTGATGATCAGTGTAGCCCCATCAGTGTTACCTGTCAGTGTCCATCAATGCCACCTATCAGTGCCATATATGAGTGCTGCTTTCAGTGCCCATCAGTGCCGCCTATCAGTGCCCATCAGTGCCGCCTATCAGTGCCCATCAGTGCCGCCTATCAGTGCCCATCAGTGCCGCCTCATTGACACACATCAGTGAAGGAGAGAAATCATTTATTTACAAAATGTTATAACAAAAACTAAGAAAAAAAGTTGTTGTTTTTTCAAAGTTTTCAGTGGTTTTTGGTTTGTTTATCAAAAAATAAAATCCCTGATGTGATTAACCCCTTCCATACAGGGCACTTTTACCCCCTTCCCTCCCAGGCCATTTTTCAGGTTTCAGCGTTCTCACACTTTGAATGACAATTGCGCGGTCATACAACATTGTACCCAAACTAAAATTTTATCATTTTCTTCACACAACTAGAGCTTTCTTTTGGTGGTATTTAATCACCACTGGGGTTTTTATTTTTTGCTAAATTATCAAAAAAGACCAAAAATTTTGAAAAAAAACACATTTTTCTTTGTTTCTGTTATAAAAGTTTACAAATAAATAATTGTTCTTCATAAATTTAGGCCGAGATGTATTCTGCTACATGTCTTTGGTGAAAATAACCCAAATTAGGATGTATTTTTTAGTTTGTAGGAAAGTTATCGAGTTCACAAACTATGGTATAGATCTGAATATTGATCAATCCTGAAGTACTGACAGCCAATCTAATTTCTTGAGGTCCAAGAATGTCAGAACAGTACAGATATCCCCCAAATGTCGGGACGGTACAGATATCCCCCAAATGTCGGGACGGTACAGATATCCCCCAAATGTCGGGACGGTACAGATATCCCCCAAATGTCGGGACGGTACAGATATCCCCCAAATGTCGGGACGGTACAGATATCCCCCAAATGTCAGAACAGTACAGATATCCCCCAAATGTCAGGACAGTACAGATATCCCCCAAATGTCAGGACAGTACAGATATCCCCCAAATGTCAGGACAGTACAGATATCCCCCAAATGTCAGGACAGTACAGATATCCCCCAAATGTCAGGACAGTACAGATATCCCCCAAATGTCGGGACGGTACAGATATCCCCCAAATGTCAGAACAGTACAGATATCCCCCAAATGACCCCTTTTTGCAAAGTAGACAGTCCAACGTATTTCATAAGAGGCATGGAGAGTTTTTTGAAGATGTATTTTTTTTTCATAATTTTTCAGAAAATGAAAAAATGCAAAAAATTATTTTCACTATTTTTTTATTTTTTTTACATACTGTCACCAGTACAGTACAGCGTCATCATATAACTGGCATGGCGGTGATCAGGGACACTGACTGGTGACAGTATGAAAAAAAAATATATATATATATATTTTTATTTTTTTTTATTTTTTATTACATTTTTTTTCTTCTTTTTAAGATTTTTTTCATATTTCACTATGTCCAAAGTAGTACAATGTTACCATAGTACTACTTTGGGGAAGTGATCAGTATTTTTTTTTTTTTTACACAATTTGCTTATAGCAAAGAATTACTTTGCTATAAGCAAGCATTCACCTGAATGACATCGATTCATTCAGGGTTTTATGGGGTTTTTTTGTGCTTAGCTGTGATTTGGCCACAGCTAATGACATGACATGTGCATGTGATCGCTCTGACCATTCACAGCTAGGCACTAGTATACAATGGATGGCATGAATGAAGCCATCCATTGTATACAACTGTCATGTGACCTGCTGTGATTGGTCACAGCAGGTCACATGGTACCGGCAACTGGGGCCGATACTCAGATCTGTCATCGGCCATGTCCAAGGTACACGGCCGGTGACAGATCACGCCGCTGCACGGCTCTGCAGGAGCGCAAACTGCGCATGTGCAGGAGGATGCCATTTGGTGTCTCACCCGGAAATGCAGTACATTTTGCCGGCTGCCTTTTGGCTATTGGCCGGGCATGTACTGGTTAAATACCACCAAAATAAAGCTCTATCTGTCACAAAAAAATTATAAAAAATTCATATGGGTACAGTGTTGCATGACCGCGCAATTTTCATTCAAAGTGTGACAGCGCTGAAACCTGAAAATTGGCCTGGGCAGGAAGGAGGTAGAAGTGCCCGGTAGGTGAGGGGTTAATTATTTTCTATGGTTTGCATAAAAATAATAAAAGTGCATAAAAAATAAAATCATTTTTGAATGAGTGAATAAATAAATATTACAATTTTATATATATATATATATATATATATATATATATATATATACAGTATGTATATCATATATGTAAAAAAAAATGGACAGCCTGACACAGCGTTTATAAACATTGTTCAGATGGGCAATAGAGAGATACAAAGTGATAGCATCCTAGATTGTAAGCTCCTGGGATCAGGGCCCTCCTTTCCCTCTTGTATTGAACTGTATTATTGCTGTATTGTCTCCCGTTATATTGTAAAGCGCTGAGCAAACTGTTGGCGCCATAAATCCTGTATAATAATAATAATAATAATGGCATCTTCTTTATTTCATTCAACTGTGGATCAAATGGGCAAGCTTTGATCTGCATTATGTATTTAGCAAAAAGAAAAATACTGTATAAATATTTTTTAGTTCTCTTAATTCTTTTCTATGGTTTGCATAAAAAAAATAAAATTGTTTTTGAAAAAAAAATTAAAAAACCAAATTTTATATATATATATATATATATATATATATATATATATATATATATATATATGCACCTTTTTTTTATATAAAATGTATGCTTATTTAACTCCCTGTTAACCCTTAGTTTATCCCAATCTGCTATCTATTATTTTAGCTATTACCATTCAAACTTTTGTTTTTTTTTACTTTTATTCATTTTGGTTGTTGTAAGTTTAGTGTTGTATTAAAAAAAAGCACCACATTGAAAAAAAAGCATTTTGTAAATAATCGTCTGGGAGAAATGATAGCATACAATGTATACCTTTATGTTTTTTGTTTTGTTTTCAACTAACACTGATAAAAATTGAAAAAAAAGTGTGTTTTTTTGTTAATTTGGTAATTTTTTTCTATGGTTTGCATAAAACAATATTTTAACTATTACCATTCACACTTTTTTTTTTTTTTTAACTTTTATTAATTTTGGCTGTTATATGTTCAGTGTTGTATTAAAAAAAAGCACAACATTGAAAAAAAAAAAAGCATTTTGTAAATAATTGTCTGGGAGAAATGATAGCATAAAATGTATACTTTTATGTTTTTGGTTTTTTTTCAACTAACACTGATAAAAATTGAAAAAAGTGTGGCTTTTTTTTTTGTTAATTTGTTAATTTTTTTTCTATGGTTTGCATGAAACAATAAAATAATTTCCAACATTATTATCATGAGAAAGCCTTGCTTGTCCTGCCGGTTGAACAAAAAAGAAAAAAAACTCCAGACCCGTCTATGGCTGTGCTTAATCTGGACTTTATCCAATGAAGGTGCAGGAGAAACTTCTCAAAGTTTCAAAATGTTTCTAAAAAGAAAAGTCTACAGCAGGGATGCTCAACCGTTTGAAGAGTGAGGGCCGTTTAAGGTGTCACTGGAAACGATGAAATAAAAAGGTTTACATTTTTTTAAATTTTTTATTTTGAATCATGAAATGTACATTTTTCTCCCCTGCAGCTGCTGAATACAGCATGCAGGAGGGAGCGGAGAAGGAGAAGCCGGATTTCTGTGGTTGCAGGAGGAAAAGGAAAAGGATTGGTTCCTGTATATGACACCCCTGTTGCCCCCTCCCCATCCAAGTGTATAATGTGACATAGAGGCCGCACGGACCACCAGTACATGGGATGGGGTTGCCCTTGTGACCCCTGATGTTACACCAGTAGTTGGGGGGGGTTATGTGATGTTTAACCCTTTTCGCTGCCAGGGTCGTTTTTGCTAATTTTTTTGCACACGTTTACAAAAAAAAAAATTTTAGGCCTGAAGATGATGCAAAACCCCCAAAACATTCTATATTTTCTGAAAGCAGTAATTTTAAAATTTTTTATGCCACACAATATTACCGGAAACGTAAAATTTCAGTGAAAATCACCCTAAAGTGAATTTTTTGGGCAAACAATTGCAATTAATTACCACACATTTTGGTAAAATATAAATGACGAGGTTGTGCCGAGTAAATAGATACCCAACATGCCAAACCTTAAATTTGTGTGCGCCCGTGAGATTGCGTCAAACGTCAGTGCCCGATATATTCTATAGATGACGTCATGAGTTTGTTTATGTGGCTCCTGCTTCCTCTGCTGCCGCCTGCTTCCTCCACTTTTGCCTGCTTCCTCCGTTTCCACCTGCTTCCTCTGCTGCCGCCAGCTTCCTCTGCTGCCGCCTGCTTCCTCTGCTGCCGCCTGCTTCCTCCGCTGCTGGCTGCTTCCTCTGCTGCCGCCTGCTTCCTCTGCTGCCGCCTGCTTCCTCCGATTCCGGCTGCTTCCTCTGCTGCTGCCTACTTCCTCTGTTGCTGCCTGCTTCCTCTGCTGCTGCCTGCTTCCTCCGATTCCGGCTGCTTCCTCTGTTGCTACCTGCTTCCTCTGCTGCTGGCTGCTTCCTCTGCTGCTGGCTGCTTCCTCTGCTGCCGGCTGCTTCCACCGATT